GCCCAAAGGCGGTGGGTGGAACCGGCACATCCATTGTGTTGTGTCCCAGCAGGGGCAGGGCTCTTGCTGACACTTGACCATGTGAAACTCAGTGCTTCCTAAACTCAGAGCTTCTGGGTCCCCTTGGCAGAAGCAGACCTCTCAAGGGTAAAAGCTAACCACCTCCATCTTGGCACCCAGTGGGAGCGTTGTGGAAGCCTCTGGGCATTGTGTTGGTTGTTGCTGTGGTTGCAGTGTTACGACCATTGAGTGGGCAGGCCCTCGTGTGCTAGATGGACTCAGAGTGGACAGTCGGGCGCAAGGGAAACTTGCATCCCACTGGGCTGTCAGATGTGCCACATCTAAATCTTGTTATTTTCCTTTTCTATTCCAGGTGGGAATGTTTGCCTATTATCTCAAGTATTTTTTTTTTTTTTTTTGCAGGATTTTAATATACATTTGATATGCACTGAGTTTCTGAGGAATAGAACTTGGGTGTTAATATATTTGGAGATTTATTTTATTAGTTTGAAACTTTACTAAGAGTTCACCTTTTCAGAAAATTTGTAACATGTTTTTCTGGCCTTTTTTTTTTTAAAGATTTTATTTATTTGAGAGAGAGAGCATGGGCATGAGCAGAGGAGAGAAGCAGGGGGAGAGGGAGAAGCAGGGGGAGAGGGAGAAGCAGGCTCCCCGCTGAGCAGGGAGCCTGATTCGGGGCTCAATCCCAGGACCCTGGGATCATGACCTGAGCTGAAGGCAGACACTTAACTGACTGAGTCACCCAGGAGCCCCTGTTCTGGCCATTTGAAATGGCAAGAGAATACACATGATGTCTACATTTGTAGTGACTTCACTGTGGTGATTCAAGGAACAAACCTAACAAATTTCTTCATGTCTCCTAGGGCCCCACTTCTCATTTAAAGTGCCCATGAATTACCTGGGAATTTGTTGCACTGCAGATTGTGACTGGGGGATTTGCATTTGCATTGTGATTGAGATTTTGCATTTTTAACAAGCCCTAGATGGTCCCACTGCGGCGGGCTGCTGGCCTACAGACCGAGCTTTGAGTAGTGAAGGTCTAGTATTGGGGGCGCCTGGGTGGCTCAGTTGGTTGGGCGACTGCCTTCGGCTCAGGTCATGATCCTGGAGTCCCGGGATCGAGTCCCGTATCGGGCTCCTTGCTCAGCAGGGGGTCTGCTTCTCCCTCTGACCCTCCCCCCTCTCATGTGCTCTCTCTCTCTCAAATAAATAAAATCTTAAAAAAAGAAAAAAGGTCTAGTGTTGTATGCCTGAGCATATTCAAGTACCTAGTTGTTAAAACTTACTTTAGAAGAAAATTTTAGAGTGAGGGCATTATATTGATTTTTTTTTTTTTTAAGAAAATACTGGTATTGGATAGTTACTGTTTATGAATTTCATTTCAGACTCGGGTAAAGGTATTATAAAATATATGTTTTCAGGATGGTGCATTGGGTTAGATGGGGTGAGAGCCACTGCTCTGGGTGATTAGGAAGATCTATCATAAATACAAATGGAATTATAGACCCCACAGTCAAGGGAGAGTGATTCAGAATATGTTTATTCTGTTAATTGTTCAAAACAGGTTATCATTCATTTATTCTTTCTTTTCTTTTCTTTTTTTCCCCCCAAGTAGGCTCCATGCTCCATGTGGGGCTTGAGCTCACAATCCTGAGATCAAGAGTCACATGCTCTACTGACTGAGCCAGCCAGGCGCCCCACACTTATTCTTTCAACAAATATTTATTGAATACCTATGTGTGCTCTGTGCCAGGCACTGCTCTATGTGCTTAGCATGTGTCTGTGAACAAAATAAAGATCCTTGGTTTCATGGGCCTTACCTTCTAGTGGGGGAAACAGTACACACTGTAAGTAAATTACAGGGCATTTTAGGTGATAAGTGCTATGGATTATTGGAAGATTAGGAATGCTGGGGTTGAAGAGGACAGGGTGAGCAGTTCCACTTTTAAATAAGGCCAACAGATTTCTCATTGAGAATATGAAATTTGAGCAAAGGCTTCAGGTGGTTATGTAGTTGGCCATGGACACCAAGGGAAAGCAATCCAGGCTGAGGGAACAGACAGTACAAAGGCCCTGAGGCCTGAGGCCATCCAGCGGGCATGCTTGAGGAACTGCAAGGAGACCAGTGTGGCTGGAGTAGAGTCGGCTAAGGCAAGTGTGGTTAGGAATGAGGTCAGAAAGGTAATAGGGGCAGATCACACAGGGCCTTGTAGGACATCATAGGGCCTTTGCTTTTTACTCTTGAGTTGGGAAGTTAATGCAGGTTTTGAGCAGGAGTAACATGATCTTACTTAAGTTTTAAAAAGCTCCCTGTGGCTGCTATGTTGAAAATGGCTTTCAGGGGGCAACGGTAGAAGCAAGAAAACCAGTTAGGAGTCATTGCAGTGTCCAAGCATGAGATGATGGGGAGAGCCTGACCCGGAGAGGGCATTGGTGGTGGTGGGAAGGAGGTCGGATTCTGGATGTATTTTTGTGCAATTTAAGATTGCAAGATAAAAAGTTCTCAC